GGACCCTGGAAGGGAATCCAACCCCTGTGAAGGAGGGACACATTTTGGAAATGCTTCTTGCTTCTCTGCCCCCGCAACATATCAAGTGCTTCTTTCTTTCTTTCTTTTGCAGCTATGAGTTCCCTTCCGACGGTCAACTGAAAGGCTCCGGATCCCAGGACAGGCGCTTCTCTACACGCAGAGAAGAGGGGACTGGATCAGGAGACGCCAGACGCTCTCCTGTGGCCCCCCGCTGGGGCGGTCCAGCCCATCTCCCTGCGCCTGCACCTGAGAGGCGCAGGGAATACAGACTTCTAGACTGTTATTGTTATTGTTGTTGTTATTGTTATTATTGTTGTAGTAGTAGTTATTATTATTGTTGTTGTTATTGTTATTGTTATTAGATAAGTGTAATCTCATGTTAACCAGTTATATATTTCAATAAAAACCTTTTTTTCATATATGTTTATGAAAATCTGTGTGGCAAATCTGTGTGACTTTGGGGGGGTCTCGTGTAGGAGCATGTAAAGTGTGCAAACCTCAGCGTCCATTGGCATCCAGAGGTTCAGAACCTGCAGGTCTTGAGTCAAGGCTCCTTGGCTGTTGCCATCCTGCAACGCTCGTGTTTTCCACACAGGTGGATCAGGCTGAAGAAGTCCCTCTTCAGACGCACCCCAGGGGGAGAGAGAAAGGCCGGGACTCTCCACATTGGACTGATTTAAATTGATTCCAGAAATGGATTTGATGTTTTACATCAACCCCCAAATAATGCATCAACAGAATAAAAATAAAACCATATTTTAAAAAGGAATAAAAAACAAAGAAAACTCACAGGGAAATAATCTTCATGAAAATGAAGAACACAAAATGTTTCTTAACAATGCACACAAACACTCACGCACGCACGCACGCACGCACGCACGCACACACACACACACACACACCCCTGCGATAACTGGCTAGGAGGGATCCTGAGTGTAAGGGGTTATTTTTTTTAAAAGTGTTCTGGGCTGGACAGCCACTTCATTCTTTAGTGGTCCAGTAAAAGGTATCACCCAGTCTCACACTTTGGTGAGGTTTGGGGCTCTAGTCAGAAAGAGGAAATGGTAGCAATTACTACCTGTTGACTCAGATTAGATCGGTTGCAAGGGCATCTGGCATTCACCACCATTCCTTGAGGATTCCTTGAGATTTATTTAGTATCTTCCATCATAAACAACACTGTGAGAAGCAGATTCCTGCTCCGAGCAATTAGCAATCTAAAGTTCCTCCCGAGAGCTGGGAAATGGCAGAAACGGGAAGGGGGAAAAGAAAGCAGTGGTCAGTTTAGCAAGACAGCCGTGCCTGGTTATTGCTGTAGCACATGTTGAAACTTCATCATCGTTTTATCTGGAAGAGGTCACGGACGGAACTGGCATCGATGCCTCCCCACACCCAGTCAGTGTTTTTTAAAGGAAGAGCAATGAGCTGCACATTTTGATAGAGCAATGAGCTGCACATGTACAAACACACACAGAGACACACACACACACAAATATAACAAGCATTCTAGAAATTTAAAGGCAAGAGTCCTAAGAATATTCACCTTTGTTTAAAAAAAAAAGACACATTAACCCAGTGCTGTGCCTTCTCAATTTTTTTTTTATTTTAAAACATTAAACCCAAGCTGAATAGAAATGACAGAAATTACATGTAGATTTTTTTCTTTAGTATTGGCTGAACAGAAAAATAAACACTGCAAACCAGTAAAAAATAGCTACAGTACAATTTAATAAAACAAAAGTAAAAGGATACACAAAAAATTGGGCTCACTCCTCAGTTTTAACGCCCACAAAATCTCAAAGCATTTGGGGTGAATTCGCTTGAAAGGAATTTGTGTCCATAGGCTTTGTATCTTTCAGACCACTTTGGGTAGCAGAAATCCAGAATAAATGTTGTCAATTGCCAATTTAACCTGCACACTGGTACCACCAAAGAAAAGCATGTGGTTGGCACATCCTCGTTGCCAACACTGAAAGATTTGATTCAATGGCTTGCTGGGGTGTGAACAGGGAGGATAAAAGTGGCCACGCTCCTCGCCAGAGATGCGAGTTCTCTTTAGGATAGAAAGAGAGAGATGCTGAGTAGGAATTACGGCGGAGGGGGCGCAAAACATGAGAACTAACATTGCATAGAGAGAGTGGCACTGCTGTCGAAAATTTTTAGTCTATCTTCTCACAGGCTGCATTCAAAGATCTCATGGCCATCTTATCACCCTCCTCGTCCCTTAGCAAACAGCCTGTATTACATAAACTTGACTCTATAAATCTGTTTTTACAGATGGATACCACGTGAAGCGTTAAGTGCGATAAAATATCAGCACCACCAAAACTATCCTAGGATAGCTGCAAATTATGACCTATGACGCACAATAAGGTACGACCTGTCATTTCCCCTGTCTTTCCTGCCACTAAAGGAACTTGCTTGCCATAGAAACAGTGTGAAACAGAATAGAAGTGAGTCAATTTCCTTTCTCTCTTCCTTCCAACTGTTTTCTCCTTTAATGGGTACCTCTATCTTCCAAGGCCTGCAATTAACATGGCCACTGGGATGTGACTACTGATGAATTGGCCTCCTCGGCCACACTAGACGCTGTTCCAAGTCCTCCATACGGAGCACGTTACCCTAGTCTCTCAAGACTGAAGGATGCCTACCCACATCGGGATGCGACAGGGATCTTGATGACACCGAAGAGAAGGTAGCATTCTTCCCACTTGCTTCAGTTTACATAAGATGAGGACTAGGACGTTTATAACCAGAGCAGGGAGCAACAGGAAGAACCATGTGCATTAAATTGTGGTTAGCACCAAGCATCTCAAGACAAAGGCAACTTTTTATGCAACAAGCCGAAGTGCAGCTGGCCAGCCATTCCCTACGATCTAGCAAGAACTCCCATCACATCCTCAGCATTCCCAGAATTTTTTTTAATCCTCCTCACATCCCTGGTAAATGGTATGGTCTGGCTTCCCGGGTCACAAACTGTGCTGTACTGAAATATTCAGGCGTCATCGTGTTTTTTGTGCCAAGCAGCAATTGCTAATGCATTAACATGTATTATTCTTGAACACCACATTCTTAACACAGATTCCATTTCCATGATGGGCCATAACATTTGTCCGCTGTGTGATCTGAGCAACTTCCAAGCCCCTTCTATGTCAATATGTCAGGTTAAAACTACTGAACATTTCAGTTAAGCTGGTCATATCTGAGGCACTGAATTAAACTATGTTCTGTTTTCTAAACAAGAGTCAGGGAGAGCAGAAGAGAACTGAACTCCTCAGGTTTGTAGAGGGGGACAACAAATGGCAAATTATTATCTTGAACCTTTTTTTAAAAAAAGTTAAAGTGAACACAAAAGGAAGTCAGCAAAAATAACATACAGAATACAAACACTACACTAATTTCTAAGACCGCACACACACAAAAATAAATTCACAGCCAAGTCTTGATTCTATTTCTTTTTTTTTTAAAAAAAAACACGATTACAATGCAATCTTTGAACACTGGACACAAAGCGTCCAACATGCTATGTACATTTCACATTGTGGAGATGGGTTGTGTGCTTGACAAGGTTCTTGGTTCACAATTTTTATTTTTTTAAAAAAGTGCTGTGACACAACTACAGAAAGTCAGCTAAATAAACCAGAGGAGCAACGGCCACATAGGTGCTCAAAATGAGAGAAGCAAAAGGGGAACCAAGGGAGAGTCTTTACTGCTCCAGTTTTCTGCCACGGCGTTCATATCCTGCTTGAGGCAACACCAGACATTAAGCGGCTTCTTAACTAAAAATCCAGGAACTTCCACATTAAGTCAAAATTAGGACGATCGTTTTGAAATGATTTGAGAGTTGCAGAGGAAGTCAGCCAGAACAACACATTCCAAGCAATACGGCATTGAGATTTCATCACATGACTTAAAAACTCATACAAATCAGAAGGAGGAAAGGGAGTCCCTTGCAGGTTTTACTTACAATACCGAAAGAGAAGAGAAAAAGAAAAAGAAAAGCCCCAACAGACACTGGAGCCAGCTAACTAATTGATAAACCTTGCCGGTCGATCATCAAGAGCTGGCTCAGGAGAAGGGGGGGAATGTTGACGATAACTCCTGAGCACCCGGTTCCCCAAGGCAAACTGTGACCAGAAGAGATGGTCCCGGTCACTGAACGCTTCTTCTGGCACCCCTGCAAATGACCAGACATACCGTCGATTCTGAAGCAGATCCATTTCGACTTGCCTCAGGAGATCCCCGTGTGTTGTTAGTGTCACTCAGGGATCCATTACTCCATATCTTGCAATGGTTTCATCGAAAACCCAAGTAGTACTAGAGTCTTGCATGTGTTAAGTAAAAGACACGGAGGTCCCGCTTTACATGCCATGAGACAGCCAGGAGCTGTCGCTCTCTCTCTCATGAGGAACTGACACTCTCGTCTAACTTCTAGACAAAATCCACGCCGTAGAAGGAGACCTCATAGCTTGTTTTTTGGATTTTTGCCATTTGGTCTCCTCCTAGAAATCCACTTGGATGCTAGGTATAGTCGGAGTTCTTCACAGCGTAAGTGGTTGAATACCTCTTGCAAGGAAGCACTAAGTGGCTATTACTCCTTGGAAGGAAGGTAAATTCTATAGTGGTTACAGTGTAATGCAATCATTGGTCCCTACCACAGAATCACAATAGACAGCAAGCACCTCCTGGTGCATTTCATACCCTCCTGTGCATTTCCTCTAACACAAGTGGAAGGAAAGACTTGGTTTCTTCTCCTATATGAACCACGGCTAGGCTAGGAAAACTGCTATTTTTAGGGCGGCTTCATCAGTGCCTATTTGCACAAATCTCAAGCAGCTGACATGCAGGCTTAAGCTTCTTTTTACTTTTATATGCACATTTAAAAATAGGAAGGACAAAGAAACACATGTTTTGAAAACATGTGCAGCATAAAAATACCCTACACTCGATGATGGACGTTGCCGCTCTCCAGATCCTTTTCAGCCTCCAATTCCAACTCGCCTGCCCCAGCGTAGTCAGTGGTACAGAATTATTTAATTTGCAGTCCAAAAACATCTGGATTAGCTAAAGTTCTGAACCGAATGTGAATTCAACAGCAAATCCAGGCTTGTTACTTGGGTAATGTCAACACTAGTGAGATCTACTTTTTTGGGGGAAGTGGACTGATAGAAACTCCTACGGGTTGTATGCATATGCACTCATTTATGTAAACAAGAATGATCCATTTTTAAGTTTTTAGGCATGTCTGCTAACAGTACGGGCTGCTGTATTACCATAATCTAGGCCTTCAGGTATATTTAACAGCTTACGGTACGGTTGGTATGCACGTAAACCTGAGACACTGCTCTCTGAGAACTGACTGGAAATGGCCATGTTTTATTCTACCTTCCCACAGGCTGCATCTAAGGATCTTGTGGCCACCTATCATCATCCTCATCCCTTAGTAAGCAGCCTGAAAAGCCACCTTTCCCCTTGCTGGGGAAAGTAAGGAGAAAAATGTGTGCCAGTCTTTCCCCTGAGTGTGCAAAATGTGTCACAGAGAGGAATCTTAGTAGCCCTTCATCATTCAGATAACGGAAGATGGAGATAACGCTTTGCAAATCTGGGGACTCCTGCAATGACCTCTTGAGCAAAGGGAGAAATGCTAATTACACAGTCCAATCTAACAATGCTTTCTACATGAACTAAATTGGGACATACTCTCCTACTCTATGGGTCCCCTGGTCACCTGCTGCAGGATTAGCTATATGGGAACCCTAAACACTGAAAGGGATTATCTACCTGGTCTGATGTTGCTTTTTTTTGGAGGGAGGGATGATGATTTTGGGATGGTTCTCATCAAGTAAAGCACCTTCAATGCAATTATAAGATTGGGGCAGACACAATGTTAACCTTGGTCATCCCCAACCTGACAGTGATTTTAGCTATCTACGTGCAGGCCATGAAGAGGCAACTGGAATTTGGCTGTATGTGGCTTGTGTAATTAAGACGAGGGATTAGCACATTCTGATATCACAGTATTTGACGTTTGTTCTGCTTTCTGATTCTTGGATGGAGGAGCAGCTGATATACTGTGGCGCTTGCACACAGAAATAAATTTGCTTCCATATCCCAGCACTTAGAAGAACCCACAGTCTACTGTGCCACAGGAAAGGAAAGGCGTTGGCTATCACCCTCTCTGTGCTGGCTTTCTCGTTTGCTCTTGCTGAGGGTTAAACTGATGCCAACTGAACATCTACATAGACAAAAATACTTCCTTCCACCTTTTAAATGCTCATTTTCCTGGAGTATTTGGCACAAGAAGAATTGCTTGATCCAGTTACATATCTGTACATCAATCTCAGAAGGACATCTCTAGATAACTACAAGAAAGAATAGCAACAAAGTGGAATGGGCAAATACAACACAACTAGTGTGTTAATGCATATCTGCATGGGTGGTGTGTGTATACATATGCACACACACACACACTACAGAGCAGCGAGTACTCTGCATCTCCCCAAGAGTTTAGTCCTAGGTACAAAGAGAGAGAGGCGTAAACTTATGTCAGAGGTATCAAATAACCACAGAGGAGGGAGGCTGAATCAGAAAGCCTTCTCATTCTATAATGGAAGGAACAAATGGCTTCCCAGTGTCCAAGCAGGAGATCCATCAATGGCGGAAGGATGAGCAACTTCTCCAGAGTACCACAGTCTGGGGAAATTTGCAGAAAGAGACGGATGCCTTGCAACTGGGCTTTACGACAGTGTGCGCATTAAAGATGGCTTCCTTAGATCAGTATGTCACATCCATGGCACTATGTACGGTGATCCATTTTTTCCCCCTATAATTGACTCATCAATGCATGATGAGAAAGAGGCGCTCAGGGAGCAGATTAACAAACTGCTTGCAATTTCCTGATTGGCTTTCAACAAAAACAGATCCCACACACAGCGAGGCCAACACGGATGTGCCGTTGAGTGTCCTGCAGACATGTGTGTAGCCATTTCTCTCTCTCTCTCATTCTCCCCACGCAGGTGCAAGTAAGCAGAGTCGTAACTTAGAGTAAGTTCCCATCCAGGGTGGCCCCAAATGGACACGGGTCAGGTCAGAGAGGAGAAGAAGCAGGAGAAGCAGCTGAGCTGGAATCAGAACGGGGGGTGGCTGGGTGGGAAACAAGGTGCGAGAACAGCACTGGGTGGCAGCAGTTGGCACATTTTGTTCCATTTCTTTGTTTGTTTGCTTCACTTGAGCACACTCTAGTTTTGTTTTTTTAATGCACACTGCCAGAGTCCGGTCGAGGCTGGTTCGTGGCGAGGTATTTGGCTCTCATGCTGGAGGTGTACTGGAGAAAGACAAAAAGACAAAGAAAGAGTTGAGGGAAGGAAACATACCGAAAGAGGAATATGCATTCAGAGGATTTGATGAGAGAACCGTAAGAATCAACGATTGTCTGATGCAACTTCTTCTACCCAGGTTTGCAGTTACAGGAGGACCCACCATCTGCAGGATCAGTATTGGCGGATTCACTTATCCACGGCCTGAAAGTATTAAATAAAACCCCACAGAAATATGCATTTATATGTATTTTTACATTGTATTTACCAGAAATAGCCACTAGAGGAAGCCCGAAACCATGCTATGGGTAGGTAAAGGTTATAGCCAGTTATAGTGGAATAAAATTCAAACATGACACAGGAATTACCAAACATCTACCTTACTCAGTCTAGGCATTCCCCTCAAGAAGAGATCACAGGTATGCTAACTGAGAAGTAGAAAGTTTTGTATCACCAGATTTCCTCTTTCAATCAATCAAAGAAAGAAATGAGTAGGAAACAACATTATGCCCAGAAATGTCAACGATTCACAGTTGCTATATCTTGTATAAAATGTGGAACACTCCAGATGAAGACCCCTGAAACCCACTGTATCCATTATCCCCATCCTGGAATAGAATGCAATGCCAAATCTTTTGACAGAGGGCTGAAGTCACGGATAACAGAGTATGAAAGAGAACTGGGGGGGGGGGGGCATTTTTTACATCCTCTAAAACAACAAAATATGTTTAACTCCCTAAGAGGCTGGTCAAACACTGGAAGCAGCATATATTAGCCAATCTTGGAAATAAAAACCTGTTCTAAAATTAATAACATGTTACAAACACTCTGTGAAATTCTTGTTAGCGAGCTATCAAAAGAAATGAAATATATATACAGTATTTGGATATTCCTGCAGAAGATACTGCAAATACTGCAGAAGATTTCACTTAAGTTTTTTTAAAAGCCTGTTTTAGAAGACATATGAACCATATTTTTTTCACTCTTTCTTAAAAGAAAGTACCTAGTAATGCCATCCTATGCATGTTTATTCAGAAATAAGTCCCACTGTTCTGAATGGGATGTGACATATTTAAGGAGTGGTTTCATCAAAGCTACCCCCACACAAGTTTCTATGGTGGAAAAGGGATTTGAACTCAGATCTCCTGAGTCCTAATTCAACACTCAGACCTCACCATTGCACTGGCTCCACATACACACACCCCAGCCACGGGCCCAAATAAAGCTGACAGTCCCAATGAGGCTAAACTCACTGAATCAACTGCAGAACACAAAAGTGACACTTGTGTAACTGTCATCAACACAATGAATCTTCTCTAGTTGGGACTGACATATAGATTTGGGATGATTATTTGCTGACCTCCACAGAAATCAGCAAACAATCTTATACTCACTTTCCAAATATACACCCCTGTTTTTGTTTTCAGTTCAGGACTAGAACAAAAATTGCCTAAATCACATTTGGGGGGGGGGAGAGGTGTGTTTTCACCTACAGGTGGAAAAGCAAAGGAGGGGAAGTGACGAAACCTACCCTGGATAAAAAACCGCCGTAGGGTTACCTGTGTTAAGTGCAACAGCAAGGGTTTTCAAACAGTTTTACTAAACAATACATGTACAAACGTTCCCTTGATAAACATAATTTCAAAATACTGTGGAACCAGATTAATCCTGGCAGCGGTTTGGCATTTTTCTCTGTTTACGGCTGAGATTTAGATCCCATCTTCTGGGGTGAAACCCTGAGGAGCCTTTCCACATTCAGATTCTTGATCTCACAGAGTGCCATAAGAACCATTGAGAGTGAGATAAGAACCATTGATCTACATGGGATCTCTGGGCAGAAAATGAAAATAAACAAGAGAGACACACTACAACATGCACCCATTGGAAGAGTGTTGTAACAAGAAGAACAAAATGAATGCGTCTTACACAGGAAGCCACCAAAGCCGAAGGACAGGACTTCTCGTCACTATTTTCCCTCCTGATTCGGAACAGCTTCTGTATTTCAGAGTGGCTCACACACCCACACCCACACATATACAGTATAGACATATACACACACTCACACCCACCTTAGTATGCATTCTTGTAAGCAATTAAAAACAAAGCATGCATACCAAGAGAGAAACATTGTTACTTCTGTCACATAAGACTTTGTTACAGAAAGTATGACTTTGAAACAAGGACCTCAAAACACTCTTAAAATCTTGTTTGTTGCAATGAAGCTTGATCTTTGCTAAGACCTTTCAGAAAGCTTCAGGTCCTTTGCAGTGGAAAACAAAAACAGCACCCCTGATTTTTAAACAACAAGCAAAACTATTTTTTGTAGTGCTGCTTTTAAAAACCATCTGGTGCTTCAACTTCTACCAGAACCGCATATTTTTAAAGCAAGGTTCAAGACACTTTTTAAAAGAATAGTCCTGTCCACAAACAAAGATGTATACCATGGGCACTGTGAAGCTTTATCCTAGAAAAATTAATTAATGTTTATTTATTATACTTCCCCCCCCACCTTTCTCCTTAAGAAGGAACAAGGTGGAGTTATTGTCTGAAATACAAAACGTGTAATACAGAACATTAAAACAAGATAGTGATTAACAGTGTTAATGCCTGATGAGGAAAAGGAATTCAGACTTGAGACTCGGGGGTGCGTCAAGACTTGATTTTTTTTAAAAAAATAATAAGCAAGGCTCACCAAAGCCTGCTTACAAGAGAGAAAAATACAATGACATTCTGGAGATTACAAGCAACATGCATTATATGACATACACACACACATCCCCGCTCATGCACTTGATAGAGTGCGCAAATACGAGGTTGCTTTTCTGACATTCCAACCGCCATCTCAAGAGAACACGTAAGCGTGGACCGAAGCAAAGCAAGCCGATGGCAAGGAAGTGGCAAAGATGTAGACGAAGCAAGTGACGGCGGAGTATGGGAACCAGCGCAGGAGGGCAGCACAAAAAGCCCCAGCAGGAAAAGGTGGTGTAAAGGTGTAACAGCTGGATGTCAAGACAGACAGGTCTAGGAAGGCGCATGGTGGCTCCTCATGGACCGTGCCAGACAACCAACCCAAAACCAGATAAAAGACACAAAGGACACTGGATTGCAGCCACTGCAGGCATTTTCCAATTGGCTCCAACAGGTTAAAGAGGCAGGTTGGTTGTCTGGGGAAACTGCATGGGATTCAACTCTGGGCACGTATCTAAGCCCTGGGAACCAAAATTATACGTGACCCAACTTCCCATGGCTAATTCACAGAGCTCAGAACGGAGATTGTCTCATTCTAAAATCCACCCACCCACCCAGTGAGTAGAAGGATCATAGGCCTCTGACAGATGCCCTTAATATGCTCTCTTAACATGAAAACATCTTCTATAAAGTCAGTCCCTTTGGCCACCTGGCACAGTAGGTTTGACAGAGAAGGGGAATCATATCCTCAGGGTTTCATAAAAGAGTCCTCCCTAACCCTTATCTGGAGATGATGGGAGTTGAACTTGGGACTTTCATATGCAAAGCAAGCGGTCAACAGTAACATGTAGCCTTTCTCAGTTAGGGAAGGTAAAGAGAGTTTTCCGAACATCTGGAAGACAAACTTGGTGTTCTTATCACCAAGCTACATATACAGTCCTTGACCGGGGCTCTAATGGAGATGCTCACATTTGAAGGATTCATGCCATTCAGCATCATAGGAAGAAGAAGAGTGTATGCCAATAACAGTGCTTGCTTGTTACCCCCTAACAATGGAATTTCACAGTGCCATCTGCACTGAGTATTGGAAAGCTTGGGTGGGGGATCCCATTAGAAGAGGATTTGCTACGATTATCTTTGGTGTGCAGTTTAGTTTTATAATGTGGCACATCTTTTGTGTGTGTGTTTGACTGCATCGACTGTGACACAAAGTGGAAGGTCAAGGGAAGGTAAATGGGTGCTTCATAAGAGGGACTTCACATGTACAAGTGAAGCCAAGGTCTTAGCTAAATTCTGTTCTCAGATGCAAGAAGTCAACCATGAACAAGGACAGCATTTTCAGCTTCAGAACACCTGACGGCCTCCACATTTTTGGATAATACAAGAGGATAACCCACTTGATTACAAAACTAGGGTTGGTCTCTGAGAAGCGGGACTTCTACTGCCACAGTGACCCCAGGGAGCTTTTAGCCAAGGGAAAGATGCTGATGTGGCTCCATCACTAAGCGCCAGGGAAGGCTAGCTAGCATAAACCCTGGGCAGGGAAGGAATGGGGTGGGAAGTGCAGGGAGGAGAAATGTGAAGACTTTCAGTACCTGTTTGGTTTTGTGGGCGCTGTTACCAGTACGTCCGAGCACTGTCCAAGGGCTTAAACTGCCAGCTCATATGGCTGCTACTGTCCATGGCAGCCAAATACAACTGTGATGATGCAGGAAAGAGAGAGAAAAAGAGAGAGTGCAGCCTCAACGTGCATGAAAAACACAGTGCAAGCAAGTGAAACGCCATGGTGCGTATGCCAATGACAGGGAGGGTTCCTTCTACGGAGGAGTAGACCTTGGAACAAGGAGGAGGAGGAAACAAGGGAAGGAATGACAACGGGGACAAAAAAAATGTTTGTTTTTTTAAAAAAACACACACACCATTAACAATGGAGAAGACAACTTGCTCTAAGAGAAATTTTGTCTAGATTTTTACAAGAGAAAAAGCTTCAAGTCCTTAATGTTACACCATCCCTTAAATATGCCATGGTACTCCCTATCTACAAAACCTTTACACCCAATAGGGGCTGAAGTGAGTGGCAGCTATAGATCTGTGTTTCAGTCACTTCCCATGGCTATTTGTGTTTTTTACATAGACAAAGACAAGCAACTGGTCTCTGACATCTGAGCGTTCAGTCTGGAGGCAGGCGTTGCATCACGGCCTCTCCCAATTTGAAGAGACCCTTGCCCAGCAGGCCGAGGCAAAGAGGAAGTCACAAAAGCAGCAAAACCAGGGAGCTGGACAGAGGACAGATTGGATTTGTCTTCAGTGTGGAAGAGATTGTCACTCTCGAATCGGCCTTCTCAGCCACACTAAACGCTGTTCCAAGCCCTCCATACAGAGCACGTTATCATAGTCTGTCGAGACTGAAGGATGCCTACTATGGTCTCGGGGAACGCAACAACAGTATGCTGGCACTATAAAATGAAGTCTGGGAGTGAACAAGAACTTGGTCCCTGTTCCCAGGCAGTCTGCCTCATCATAAATCTGAAATGAGCTACATAGCATAGTAACTGTCTACCACATGCATGAGATGGGCAAAGTAATGCCTACAGGCTACCAAAGCCTTCCCCCTTTTTAAAAAAGGTCTGCTTCCCTGAACCTATAAGTACGAACGGAAAGTCATTTTCTGTTTCTCAAGTCTCCAGAAACAGCATTTTCACCACAAAATGGTACGAAAGGCTAATCCAGGGAAGGACAGAAGAAGAATTCCAAGGAACTAGAAATGCCCTGTTCAAATATTTGAGGCTGATACAGCTGAAGAGCAGATCCTAGGATGGAGAGATGGCCTCCTCTAATGCCCAGCCCTGTGTCAGAGGAAGTCTACCAACGGCTTGCTCAGTTTTTATCAGGCACGTAGATTTTGCCTCTTCGTCCTATGACACCAAAACCAGAAAGGCCTTTCATTGCTTCTTCCAACAGCAGACATAGTTCATCCTTCCTTGGCGGTACAATCTCTCTCTTTCCTTTGTGTTGTTGTTTAAGGCTATAAACCACACACAGTACAAACAGGTTCCTCATCTCCATACGGCCCATCAAAATGATGATGCCTTCCAAGAACATGACCCTAAGGATGCATCCGCATTTCCTCTGCTTTTCTTTGAAGGACGGATGTGCTTGCTTCTAAGGAGAGCTAAACACATGCCCACAAGATGAGATAAAGCATTTAAAGAACGCTTAGTCTTTTTTGAGTGTGGGGCGGGATGGAGGAAAGAAGAAAGAAATTGAATTTAAGTTACTTTGCATCCTAGTCTGGTTCCAAACACGCCATCAACTCACCATTTGGGAGGCTGATACATTTCACGTTAGTATAAAATGCAACCAAAGAAACTAAGCCACATATAAAGCAAATAAAATAAATTAAGAGACGTATTTTTTTTCCTATTCTGAAAATCAGCTAACATTCCCCCCCCCCCGCTTTCCAAAAGGAGGAAGACAGAAATGTCAGAAGAGAAAATGCAACACAGAATTGTATGCTCTCCCAGGTCCCCTTAAAGAAGTATGTTGGGGAAGGATTCAATGTTAATGGCATCCAATACAATCTCTCATAATCATCGTGACATGAAACTGCTTGCTCGTTCTACTCACCGTTCACTTCTGCATGCAGCCACTACATTAGAATGAATGTACATTTTACTTTCCTTTTAAAAAGGTACCTAGAAATATTATTCGAAGACAGATAAGTAGGGGTGGGCATGTATGTTTCTGCACACATGCTCACAACTGCACATAACAGGAATTCCACCATTTGTTGTAGTAGAGGGTAGGCCCATCTCTTTGCTTTTAAATAGACGCTTATTAATAAAATACATTGGACTTGAGTGCATATATCTCAAAAAGACAGACTTTTGGTGGGATTATTATTATTATTA